ACTAATGGTGCATGCAAACATAAGTCTTCATAATTCTGAGACCAGAAGAGCTGGATGGTACCCAATTACCACTACCATCAACTTCTCTGAAAGGGATCACAAAAGAATGTCCTGGATAGAGCTGGAGAAAATGTGGAAGAAAACTCAAAATCATAAAAAATGCCCATGCCTACTTGTTAGATATAGACTGGCAGAACCTCTGACACTATGATCCTTAGTCACCATTCAGGTCTGGAAATGAAATCACCCTCATAGCTGAATTTTCAGCCAAACAATAAAAAGAGCTATAAAACCTATTGCCACTGAGTTGATTCTGACTCCTATTGACCATATGTACTGTTTACAAGGCTGTAAATCTTTATGGGAACAAAAAGTCTTCTCTTTCTCCCATGGAGCAACTAATGGATTTGAACTGCTGACCTTACAGTTAGCAGTCCAATACGCAACCCACTACTCAGCAGGGTTCCTTAGACAGGTCTACTGGTGGAAATATAACACTGGGGAAGTACACACACTTTAGAAAAATAGACAACATCAGATCAAAAAGACAGATTTGCCCAAGGACAAAGTTCAGAAGGAAGAATGGGATCTGAAAACAAGGGAGAAAGTAGGATAAGAGATGTTTCCTTGTGAGATTGCAGTCAATGAGATGAAACAAAATGTGTATAAATTATTGAATGGAAAACTTACGTGCTCTGTAAACTTTCCTCCAATTCACAATGAAAAGATAGAATGTGAAGGGATAAAGAAATGTATATATAGCTGATATAATAATGTTGTTTTTTTTCTTTTGTGGTTGTTTTTTGTTGTTGTTGTTGTTGTTGTTTTTTAAATTCTTTCATAGGGAAACTTTTACCACTTTCTTGGAAAATCTTTCTGCAAAGGCTAAAATATGAAATCCCTAAAATCTTTGGTATCAAAAAAGATGCATGGGTCTCTTGACAGCACAAGTGTTTCAGAATGAGATGGGGAAGGAACTGCTAAAATGGAAAAAAGGCAACTAGGTTGAGGAGTCCATCAGTAACAGCTTCAATTTTTGTTGTTGTTTAAATACATCTGTTTTGGGCATGACAATGAGTTTACAATTGAGGATGGTGTTTTTCTTATATATCTACAAGAAAAATCAGAATAAATAGAAAACATTCGTTATGTCCCCTCACCACGTTTTTTCTGCCCACAGAATATGCTGTAGTAACTACAATCATTAAAATAAACTTGGTCCAGATGTGAGCATGGAAACTATTAGTAGAGTGTGGATAGTAAAGAGTCAATAAATCGATTCCTTTTCCCTTTGAGTACAAAGTGTACTTTTTCTCTATGGATAGAGAAATTAAGAAGCTTGTCGGGAATTTTCAACCATGTGTGTGAAAATACTGAAAAATATTCTTAAGTTTTCTGAAAGGCATGACTTCTGATATGCATTGATTTCTTGAGGCAGAAACTTTCTATGACACTACTGAAAGTCCTTATGTTACAAATTATAGCTGTAATTAAATTTCAAGTACAATACTTTCACAATATGTTATTGAAGCAAATTTTTTATAAGGTACAATTAAAATTAAATTGAGCAACAGTTTCATTGATGCACTACTTCAAACAAACATAGCATAGATTTTTGTTATTGGTAAAGATAGGTCCTCTTCATGGAGTTACTTTATAATGGAATTAGCTGCTTAAATAATGACAATGAAGAAAAAATAAATCATTTGAATATGGCAGCAATAATAATCATGACAATAATAACAACATGGAAATAACTTTATATTCAAAATTGCTCTAGTTGCAATAGTTTTGTATTTTAGAATAAAAACTCAAAGAAGTGTATATTAAAAATATGAGATAATTTGTCTTAAATTATATACTACAGTAGTTGAAGAGGTTTACTCATTGTACCCCAATATGATGGAACCCAGAAAATGATAAATGGGAGGCCTGGAAAGAACATTCCTTAAGGAAAGAATCTAAGGTTAGAAGGGAAAAAGTAAAAGAGAAAGCAAGCAGAGATCTGATGTTCATGCTTGTAAAGTTTATTCCTTAGAATTTAGCACCCTTTTACACTGTTAGCAAAATAGGTGGTCATTTATTAGACGTAATCTGAAGATTACTGCTGCAAGACATACCTTCTACAAAACTTCTCATCTAGTATGCCTTAGTGGCTATAATTCTTCCATTGAAATTTACTACTTTAGGTTAGTCTTCTTTTATGGATTTCAGATATTCCTGGTGAATTGATTTTAAATTGTTATTAGACATCATCACCTTACTGTGAATGAGTTGATCAGATTACCAGTTAGATTAACAAAGGAATAGGCAAATCATATTGATGGGGGGAATGATATTACAAACCTAGGTAGACAGACTTGGGAGAAAGAGTGGCCAAAGTTAAGAAGCATAAGAACACTGGATACTTGTTTTTTCCTCAGCGATGTAAATGTGGTTCATGGACTTCTGGTCTGCCTAACAAATAATAAACTCAACCTTCAACCATTACCCTAAGAAAGTCAATAATATCCTGGAAATATTTCCCTTCCCCCTTTTTAAAAAATATATTTAAAAAGTGAAATAAATATTTTAGTAAAATTAAATTGTCAGTCTCATGAAGTGACCCTAAGAAGTATAATTCATATTAATCTGGAAAGTGGCAAACATATATTACATATACAAGACTCTTGTATTACAAGTACCCATAGTTTCACAAAATTATTACTTAAAATTGTGTTACAACACAAAATTATACTCAAACACAAATCACTTTAATGCAAACAATCTAGACATGTTTACTTAGCTTTGTAAATCTCAATTTAACAATGTTTTGATACATCAAACATATACTGTAAAATGAATAATGAGATATATAGATACATTATTGCTAGTAGCACAGTCATTTTCTTGCAGGGTAATTTACTAACAAGTATAAGCAAATCAACACTTGTCCAAAGAAAACATTTTTAAAGTTTCTTAAAATTCATTTGGATTTCATCAACTTACCCCCCCTCCAAATATTAATATCCTAATGTCATGCCTAAGGCAACTCCTTTCAGATGAAAAGCAGTATATGTCTTCTTTATATAGCACACTAATTTTGATTAGGTTATTTTCTTTAAAAAATGCTGTAACATTTTTATAAAACATGTTTCAAAGTCTTCTAATACTTAAGACCTCATGCTCAATTACTACTCATACCCTTCGTCTCTTCTGTGCATAATAATACCAATGTCAAGACATTGCAATGTGTTTCCATGACTGCAAAAAATTAATCTTCTATATTTTTTTCAAAACATAGTAGACTTGCCTTCATTAACTGCTAAGACTCCTAGTGTGGCACCGTAGGATCAGCACTGGAACCACAAGGTTGGCAGTTCAAACCAATCAGCTGCTCTTTGGAAACTCTATATAGGGTTTCTATGAGCTAGAATTGACTAAAAAGCCCTTAACAACAACAACTGCTAGGAGGTAGGCTATGTAGACCTCAAAGTAATATGGCTAGAGCAAGATTAGACCAGAAACATTACTATTACTGCAGACTCTAGTGGTGTCTACACACCTGAGTCCCCACAAACCCTACTCTGGTTGATATTTGTAGCTTGGCAGTTGACATGTAGCTTAGGATAATGCATATAATACAGCTTGGGTTTTACAAAATATGTGTAACTGTGCTTCATCATTTAACTCTGCAAAATTTAGTCATTAATTAGTCCACTACTTTTTCTATAGGTTCAGAAAGTGGAATGCCCTGTCTGAGGTGTCTCTCAGTGTTACACTAGAAGCATGGCAGGAATCCTCTCCACTAAGAAGATCCATACAACTACAAAGTTGTTCTTTGGAAGTAGTTTAAGAGTCATATTTGTGATGATCATCTATCTGCTGTATCCTGGGCCAATAAAAGCCATTAGTGTCACATTGTATGAACTTTAGCAAGCTACCTTCCCTAAATTGATTCAACATGATATCTTATAGGGTAAGATAATTAATTGTTGTATATTAATTTGGATATTATTATTAGTTTAAACAAACCAGAGTACTGAGCTCAAATTTTCACTCTATAAATGGATATGACAGATGATATTTCATAGTGATGCTGAAATAAAATAAGTAGCTATTTAATCTTCAAGCCTTGGAGTGTAATTATTCAAAAAGATAAAAATTGTCCCACGTTTATAATACTTTATTAGCAAAGAATAATATATCATCCATCATATTTAGAATATAATAAAATTATGATTTTGTACTATAAACTGTGGTTACTCGGATAAACAGTCTATATGGCATCTGAATACAGGAGACTTAATGTTTTTTATGAAGGATAAGCCTTGTGATGCAATGTTTAAGCACTTGACTGAACACATAAAGGTCCGGACTTCAAACCCATCAGCCACTTAGCAGAAGAAAACTGTGAAAGTCTGCTTCTGTATAGATTTATAGCCGTGAAAACCATATGGGTCCATTCTACACTGTCCTATTGGGTCACTACGAGTTAAAATCTAGGCTACAGGAACAGATTTTGTGTTGTTTTGTTTATGCCTTTTGTAACAAAACTAACTGCTTATTATGTTGTTGTTACTTGCTGTGGAATCATTTCTGACTTACAGCAACCCCATGTGTGCAGAGGAGAACTGATCCATACAGTTTTGAAGGCTGTGTGACATTTTGGAAACAAATCACTATTTTTGTCTTCTGAGGCACCGGTTGATGGGTTTGAAACGACAACCAAAACTAATAGTCTCTAATAGTCTTAGGTTCACAGATAACACTGCTAGCACTAATCAATGTATGTTATCACTACAATTTTACAGTTTAAATCTTAAAGAAAGGTGAAAAAATTTAAATACAAATGTGTGAAGATTGTAATGGTGGAGCACAATACTCCAAATAGTTTCAATTATGAAGACAAACAATCAATGAAAATCTATGAAAACTTTCTCTGAATACATCCTTGTAATATGGCTATTGCAAATGTGTTTTTGCACTTTGGGTCACATTTAGCTTTTATTTTATTTTATTTATTCGCATAATTCTGTTGTCATGGTAGAAGTAATATGTTTGTTCTCAAAGAACTTTGCATGGAGTTGGATGCTGTCATGCAAATCTTGTCTCAAAAGCCGTCTTCTGAACTCATTTGTGGTAAAGTAATATATGATTGGGTCAAGACAGGAATTCAGACTAGCGAGGCACAAGGCCACAGAATGAAATATTGGAATCACTCTTCTGGCTACGCAGCTTTTAATTTCATTGGACTTGACCAAGAAATCTAAAGGAAAACTGAAGTGATAAGGCGCAAAACAAATTAGAAATACACCTGTGCAGGTTAGAATCATCTTCAAGGCTTTCTTTTTCTCTCCAAGGTCTTGGGCCACAGAATATTTATTTTGCAATGATAAAACTGTCTTCCAGGTACAATAGAGAATGACGAAAAGTGGAACAATAAACCCTACTAACTCACCAACAGTCATCATGACAACAGACTGGGCTAGATTGACATTCCTGGTTGGAAGATCTACAAAGCATTTGTTTCTGTTGCCTGTGGTGTCAGACCTGGTTCTGAGAAGCGGGAAGAGTAGACAGACAAGGCAGATGATCAGCCAGCCAGCAATACTGATGAACAGGTCATATCTCTGTTTGCGGTTGTGGAAGTGAAAGGGATACATGAGAAACCAAAATCTTCGCACACTGATACAGACCAAGAAGTAGATGCTTGCATACATATTGACATACTTCAGGTAGAAGCAGAACATGCATAGTCCAGGTCCAAATGGCCAGTCATGAATTAGGTAGTAAAAAATTCTCAGTGGCAAGGAAAGAATTTGTAGTAAGTCAGCAATGGCTAAGTTTATCATGAATATCACAGCACGTTTAGTTTCTTTCATATAACCATAAAACACCCACAATGCTAATATGTTCCCTATGAGACCTGGTATAAGAATGACAGTGTATGTCACGGCATAGATGAAATACCGAAAATGTATATATTCCTCATCTCTTACACTACATGTATCATTAGCAGACATGTTTCTTTTAGAGAAACTGCTTTTGACAAATGATGGTTAAACATCTAAATTCACAGCCAACTGCTGTTTTATCTAAAAAACTAATAGCCAATAGGTTTGTGAGATTATATATAGAATGACCTCCTTTTATCAAATTTGTCTGAACTTCTGCAAATGATTTGGAGGAGTTTTCAAAGAACTATTTGCATACTTGCTTTGAATATGTCAACAATAGCTACATAGAATGGAGACTTGGTGGCACAGTGGTTGAAACATCAGTTGCAAATTGAAATGTTGATTTGAACCCATCAGTTGTTCTATGGGAAAAAGATGTCACCCTGTGCTTACATAAAACTTACAGCCTTGTAGGGTGTATGGGCAGTTCTACTCTGTCCTATAAAGTTGCTTATGAGTCTAAATAGATTAGATGACAATTTTTTAAACTACATTGAAGTATAGTGTGCAAGCTTAGATGGCAAACCGTAATAACATTTTCTCTTGTTCATTGCATCATAAAACCTTCTGGGATATCTTGAGAGTTGATCATTCCTCATTTGGATCATGAATGTTCCATTATAGCAACTTCTTAAATTCTCATAAAATGATATCCATATATTTTTACAAGTCTTTGGCAGGTTGGTTTTCTTTTTTGACTCACGTGAAAGAAAGGCTTGCTTGAGTGTACAGTGGATCCACCATTCTTCAGCGCTGATTAGTTTGGGAAGATCAGCTTTCTGTGTTTTTTTCAGTTATGTGTCAAAAGCTGAAAAGTCGGAAACAAAATCAGAGCTGGAAGTGAAAGGAAACAAGTCAATTATTATTATTTTAAATACCCTATGTGTTTAAAAATATATCAGTTTGAATAGAAAGTTCTAATATAAATAAAGGTGTTGTGTTACATTTTCTATAAGGCACTTTAGAATTATAAGAAAGTGTGTGTGGCGCTGTGGGTTAATGCAACAGACTGCAAAGCCATTTGAACTGTAAGATCAGCAGTTCAAGCTCACCAGCTGTTTCTAGGAAACCCTATACAGAGTCGCTATGAGTTGAAACTGACTCAACAGCACTTCATAACAACAACATAGATAGATAGAAGGCAGCCTAAGTAGTGATATAACCCCTTGCAGCTCTAAGTGTTAATCATGAACTGCAAACATTGGAATTACTTGTGAACTTGTTAGAAATGCAGAAGAAATTTGTACTTTACCTAGGGCCAGTAGAATAAGAATCAACAGTATGAGAGCATCCTGTGGTTTGTATGCATAGTAATGTTTGAGAAAATCTGATCCAGATCATTGTTTCACAAATCTTACTGATTATCAAACTCTTCAGGTGGTGGTGGTGGTATGCTGTGGAGTCAGTTTCGACTCATAGCGACCCTGCATAGGGTATTGGAAGCTGTAAATTTTTACAGGAGCAGAAAGCCTCATCTTTCTCCCGTGGAACATCTGGTAGTTTTGAACTGCTGACCTTGAGGTTATCAGCCCAACTTGTAACAACTACACTACCAGAGCTACTTATACTCTTCAGGAAGGTAAAAACAACACAGAAACCCACAAAAACTCCTTTGGAATGTCTCCTTCAGATATTCTGATTCATTTGGGTGGTGTTGCTGTTGCTGTTAAGTGCCCTCAAGTAAGTTTTAACACACAGGGAACTTTCTTAGGGTTTCTGAGAAATAACTGGTGAGTTTGAAACACCAAAGTTGCTATTCAAATGCACCCAATGGCACCACACAAATCTGTATTTTTCAAAAGATCTCCAGATGAGTCTAAAATAGCCAACCCCACATTGGTTCTTGAACTGCATTTTGGGAACTCTTGGTGTGGTGTCTTAGAATCAGTACTACACTGTTAACCACAAGATTGGTGGTTCAAACCTCCAGCTGTTCTCTGAAAACCCTATACCGGGTCTCTATGAGTCAGAACTTACTGGATGGTGCTTAACAGCAACAATTTACTCCAAATCATTCCCAGATGTCTGAAAATAAAATAAGCACCTCTTTAAATATGTCCCGTTACATGGATCACGTAGTCACTTCTCAATTATCCATGTTAACTGAGCATTGTTGTTGTTGTTATTAAGTGCTGTCAAGTCAGTTCTGACTCATTGCGACCCTGTACAGGGTTTCCGAGGCTATACATCTTTACGGGAGCAGAAAGCCTCATCTTTCTCCCATGGAACAGCTGGTAGTTTCAAACTGCTGACCTTGAGCTACCAGAGCTCCTTTAACTGAGCATGGTGGTGGTTATGTGCCCTGGAGTTGGTTCCGACTCATAGCGACCCTGTACACGGTTTCAGAGGCTGTAAATTTTTACGGGACCAGAAAGCCTCATCTTCCTCCCGCGTTAATAGCTGGTAGTTTCAAACTGCTGTTCGCAGTCTGATTCGTAACCACTACGCTACCAGGGCTCCTTTAGCACCAGTTTAAAAAGAAAGAAAGAAAGAAAATTCCTAGAAAGTTGACACAGCTGCATCCATGACCTTCTTTCTGAGTCAAAAAAAATTTTTTTTTTTTAGGAACCAGTGGACTTAATTGACTCAATATATGTGGGAAGAACAAATATTAAATGAAAATTATGAAACACCATTCTTCAAATCATCAAACCCATGTGGATTCTCAAATCCATGTGGTTGGAAGTGGGCTTGCTTCAATCCCTTAAGGAATTATTATTTCTATTATTCTGTCTAAATTGCCAAGTAAAATAGCATGTTTAGTTTAAAGACATGATGGTATTTAATGTAAACACATTTTATTTAAAAGACTGGATGAGTGATAAGAGCTATGCATTCAGGTGGAAGAAGTTAAATACTTGTGATTTCACATAAAAGAAAAAAAGTAGAGATGGTAACATAAAATATATGGAAGCACAACTGAAAATAATAAAATAGATATTGAAAGTGTTAAAATTAGAGGTTTTTCACCTCCAAATTGAAGTATATCTTAAATATTTTCAAAGGTGGTAATTTTATTTAGGTGACTAATGAAATTTGGTGGCCAACCAAAAAAGCTCTCCTTTTCATTGTCTACATTTAATTGTCCATATTAAAGTTGTTGTCTGTTAATGTCACCTGAGCCATTCAAACTCAAACTCACTTGATGCCATTAAGTGGGTTCTGACTCACAGCAACCCTGTTTCCTAAGCTGTAAATCCTTATCGGGGCAGGAAGCCTCATCTTTCTCCTGCCAATTGGCTGGTGGGTTTGAACTGCAGACCTTGCGGTTAGCAGTCTACTGTCTATCCCATAGGACCACCAGAGAAGTTTACAAATCCATGTCCAGTAAATTCTACTAAGCCTTCAGAAGCTCTCTTATAATGGCCAGTGATTCAAATCTATATTTCATCTGGTCTGTATCTTTCCTTTCAACCATAAGTGCTCATCTCATATTTGTTTCATTATCATCTTAAACTTTAATATATGAAAGCAAAATCTTATTTTATGTTTAAATATATGCCAAATCTTCTCTGATCATACAATTTCTTTACTGAAAATCCCCCAATGATTTGTCTTCTAATTCTGGAAAAGTCAAAGTACTCATAAAGAACTATAATATAGTCCTACACACTCTGGCTTTTGATTTATTTCCTAAGGTTCTCCATCTTGTCCTCTGCTCCAAATATTTTGTCATTCTAGTTGTTCTGTGAAAATGCCAAGCACACTCCTGCCTCACAGATTTTGCTCTGGGTGTTCTTCATGTCTGCAGTGCTCTACTCCAGTTATTTACTTGGTTTGCTCCCTCAAATCCTTCAAGTCAATCTTTACCTAGATGACACCTTCTCATTTGGCTTTCTCTGATCTTCCTTTTTAAAATCATCACTTACATACTGGATCTTTTTTATGCACACACATACATTTTTTTCTTAATAGAATGTAAAGTCCACAAGGGCAGGGATTTTTAAGGGTTTGCTATATCTCCAGAACCAAGAATTGTACCAGATACAGAACAAATGTTCAGTAATTTTGAATGAATTACTTTCAGTAAATAAATACTTTTGTTATGTGCCACTGAGCTGATTCTGACTCTTAGTTACACTTTCTAGTGTTTCTGTGGAGCATCTGGAGGGTTTGAAGCTACACCAGGACTCCATAAAATCAACATATGCAAAGCAACAATGATCATATCTTCCAATTTTAAACTAGATTATGGTGGTGGTGGTGATGTGCCTTGGAATAAGTTACCACTCATAGTGACCCTGTGCAGGGCTTCAGAGGCTGTAAATATTTACAGGAGCAGAAAGCCTCATCTTTCTCCCACAGAACAGCTGGTAGTTTCGAACTGCTGACCTTAAGGATTGCAGCCCGATTTGTAACCACTGCGCTTCCAGAGCTCCTAGATTATGCTCCAGGTGTATTTACAGCTATTCATTTTATCACTATTTTCTCAGGCACCTTGTCTCAAACTCTTAGGAACAGTGACTCATTTTTATTTATTCTTAACTTCCTAACAGGTTCTTAAATATTGAGAGAGCATACTATGGTGGATATATTCTATGTTTAAGAGCAAGATTCTTTGCAGTAACAGTTGTATGAATTGGCTGTAAGGAAAAATACATACACAAAAGAAAAAGAAATTAATTCTCCCTGTTGAAGGTAATGGAAAGTATTTCTCTTTCCCCCTGTTCTTCTTAAATTCATTTTAGATAACTTGCAGTTATAAATTATTTCTTTGTCCTTCTGGAAAGTATGTAAATTTAAGTGGTCTTCTCAAAGATCTGGCAGCAACCTTTTAAAATGTACCTTCAGATGCGCCTCTCTTACCTTCTTGTTTCCTGGAAGGAGATTAGCATAAACTCAGATGTCTGGGACAGGATGATGAGAAAATGAACAATTATCCAATTATCTTAAAGACATGAATGCAATGGATTGTATTCCTTTAGCTCTATAATGGTTCTAAGATTCCTTTTTGTTTTTGCATCTTCTTTTTGGGATTGTCTCTGATTCAGCAGATTCTGATTTACTACTTATTCAAAAATAAAACTTATCTTTTCCTTCTATTTTGTGGAGTGATTTTCTGCATT